TATATATACTAATTTTAGCGTAGGTTACGGTTTAGGTGCTTTTTAGACGGGCCCAGTTACACTATGCATATAAATAGCAACATAGTAATGTTCCAGTTTCAATCGACTTCTATTTCCGAGTCACGAAATGTTATACTAGTATTAGTTCCCTTTCTTGTTTTTCACAAGGCACTTCAATGCAGGTGCGGGGATTATCTAAAGAAACAGGAAATTATGTCTACCTCCAGTTCTTTAGATATTAATAATTCGAATTGACAATATCTTTCGTACATATTCTACTGCTGGTTTGAGTAACCCAGTGTAGTCCCCTCCCCAGTCTTCACTTTGTTCGCTGTCTTTATATATTATGTTATATATGTTATTGTTATATATGTTATAAAACTCACATTTATATAAATGTTCCAAGTTCTCTTTCATATTGTTATTACATAAATTGCACCGGTCATCACCGAGGTTATTTCTAAAATAGCTTTTGAGTTCTATCATATGCATGTTTTATATTTAAAAGTAAAACACGCGTCGGTAAATTACATTTCTTTCACATATATTCCTTTAGCCCATAAGTTTCTATGTTTATCATCTTCATTTTCGTTTTTCCTTTGGCTTTTATTTTATCTCTTGTTATTACGCTTTTTAAAATAGCTTGTTTTACTTGGTTTTTCTAGGCTTTCTTTGGTTTTATTTTTATGGCTGAGAGTGATATTTCTAAATCGTAGTTGTCTAAAATTTTCGAGGTTTCGTTTGCCCAATTTTTTCTCCCTCTTTAGTCTGTTGTATGTATACTCATTTCATTAATCTATTATTTTCCAAATTAACTATGAATTGCAGAAGCATGAGTTTTTTTGTAATTTATCTTGGGTAATATCGGTAGTATACCTAGCTCTATTCGAAGAGCTTCTAGCGGTGTTTTACTGTGTGCTTTTAGAATTTTGCGTAAGCACTCAAGTCTTCTAACATTTTTCCTTCTTTCTTGGTCAGGTTGGTCGAAGTTTCACTGTTATTTAAGAAGGCGGGTAGCACCGTGCACTCGTATAGTTTTACTCTCGCTTCTATCGTATATTTTCCACAGTTTTGCTCATCAGTCAATGATATAATTTCTCTCATTATGTATCGCCATTTTTCCGTTCGGGCTTTAATCATATATGTATAACCTCCTTCCTCGTTTATTAAATCTCCTAAGTATGTGTATTTAGAGCATTTTTTAATTACTTGGTTACCTACAGTAGTACGTCTTTCTCCATCCTATCTTTGTTTCCAAATTTAACTACCATTAACAATTATATTGGTTTTATTCACATTAAATTCTAACCTTTTTGATTCGGCTAAACTTGAACACGCTTGTGCGATTTTAGCTATCGTTTTGTGGTCCCCAATTCCAAGAATGTCGTCCATATATAAAAGTGGTCCAATTTCTATATTATTGTCATACATATAATATATACTGATTTAAAGTCATACAACATAATATGGGTCCTAAAATAGTTCCCTGGCGAACTATCTCTGTTGTTTCGAATATCTCTGTTTCACCTACTAACTCAACCTACTAATTTAACGGTGATTAATGCCCTTTCATTCATTTTAAAGATTATGCCCCAACAGGGGCCCTTCAGCCATATGTACCAAAGCTCCACCATCGAATCTTTAAGCCAAAGGCTATCGAAACATTTTTTATGTCTCCAAACAGTAGACCAATGTTTTTCTTTTGTTCCCTGTGTTTTTCAATGATCCCTCTCAGTACGAATAAATGGTCTGTTGTGCAGTACCTCTTTTTACCCCCACATTGGTTTTTGCAAGCATCTAAGGTTTTATTTTTACGTTTCCATATCTATTTTTTCAATGCAGATACCGATCCCAGATACCACTATGCGGGTGTGGATCCATTGTCCCGCGTCTCAAATATAAACCACTTCATCTATAATATATATATAACACGTATATCTTTCTGCTGTCTGTCTTTCTGCATGTCTGTCTGTCTGTCCGTCCGTCCAACTGGACGACCGTCTGGTCGTCTGTCATTTAAAATGTGTACTATCTATAGCTGCTACGGCATGTATATAGATATTTATTTCTATCCAACACATTGGTATACAATCAAAATCAGTTCTAATTACTTACTATACTACAACAAGATTACATCCGGAGTGAATCAAAGTATTTCTCTTGTCATTTACTCGATCCTGATTATATATTTATTTGGACTTGGTAGAATATTATAACAACGGAGTCCATTGATAAATTTCTATGCAACTGGGCGTACCAATTGTAATTTCCTTCTTCCTTCTTTATCTTCAAATTTCTTGCCTACTATATTGGTCTCTAGAGCTGTAATTCCGCACGTTTTGCGTGAATGATTGACTCACTATATGAAAAGAACTATTTAACGTATATAAATGATAGGCCGTGTATCCATGAGTTCAATGCATGATGACTAGCTGAGCAAAAACCCCGATAGCGAGTAAAACTAACGCGCGTTAGATATAGCTATTAGTTATGTAGTTAGAAAATAGCTATTTTGTTTATGGTTGGGATCTTGCCGCACTGCGGTGTGCGGCTAAAATAAATGGTTACGATATACAGAGCGTATTGTCAAAATTGATTTGATGTAATAGGCCCTATATTATATTTTTAGTGGTAATAATTTGGATACAGGTTTATATATATTTAATACAAATTTCGTTTGTTTACGAAAGAAAGCATATCTCCCACTAGCGATAAAACCAGTCACACGAGTAAGTGCATGCATAAAGAATAACGCATGCGTGCGTGAGTGAGTGTGTGGGGTGTACACTGCGGACTCCCTCATTTTGTTGCGGACTCCTTCTTTTTGAGGGCAGGGAGTCCATTGGACTCCCTTGACTCCCTTGTTCAAAAGTTAATTTTTACCACTGTAGTAGTTTGAACAAGCCTTTAATTTTGTACAATTTATTCCATTATTAATAAAAGTATTAGCTTTGTGTTTATTAAGCAAACTTCAGTATTTCATAGTCTATATATCAAGTAAAAACTAGTCAGGAAATTGGTCAATATTGTTGATATTGGCCGCCGCCGGCAAAATAGCGCTAATTTGCCG